GCTAAAGTGTTTTGGTAGAAAAAAAAATGTATTTTTCACAGATTTTTGATGAAACATCGCGTGAAAATTGATTATCGCCAATGGTTGGAAGAAATACGAGAAAAAAACATTATATCTGTCTATATTTCTGAGATGAGGTATTATGTAAATTATTTACATTATACGGACTGTTGTCCTCATTTTTGTCGCCATATTTATTACAACATTTCTGCCTTTAAGTATCTGTCTATATTTCTGAGATGAGATATTATGTACACTATTTACATTATTCGGACTATTGTCCTCATCTTTGTCGCCAGATTTATTACAAGGTTTCGGCCCTTCAGTATCTGTCTATATTTCTGAGACGAGGTATTATATACACTATTTACATTATTCGGACTATTGTCCTCATCTTTGTTGCCATATTTATTACAACGTTTCGGCCGTTGTACGCTCCGGCCTTCTTCAGGTGGTTGAAATGTCAAACTGAACTCTTTATAAAAAAATCTCCTGAGCCGACCAAGCATAGAAATGAATACAATATGGGAACCAGTAATAAGGAGTCCCAGAGAAAAGCGATAAAAATAATAAAAAATTGCAATATGAGCTCTGGTAAAAACATGCAATGATAACAGCAAAAATTCGCAATATGAGCACTGGTAAAAAAAAACTATTACTGAAGACATTAGGTTTATAATACCCAGAAATTCATACACAGATGTCCTCAAGGACACATGGCACATAAATTTATTATGAGATCGATTTTATAAGTGTTCAATATGTGCGCCGCCTGTGACACGGCAGACGTCAACTCGGTAGTTAAGCTCTTGCCAAACACGCTGTAGCATGTCTCCGGTAGCACTATCCAGTGTGGAAGTGATTCTCTGCTTGAATTCATCAATAGTAGCAGGGAGAGTGGGGGACATAGACCAATCCCTTCACATATCTACATTAAAACTAATTCCACGGTGACAGGTCCGATGACCGTGGCGGCCATTTCATCAGAAAACTGTCCTCATCTCCACCACGCCCGAACCATCTCTCTGGCAGATTCTCATTGAGATAAACACGTACTCTCCTCTTCCATTAAATATAAAATCTTGATCTGTTTCTATACATTCTATGAAAATTTGAGGTTATTTTCAACAAGAATATATATATATATATATATATATATATATATGCGTGTGTGTGTTTATGTGTGTGTGTTTGAGTGCGTGTGTGTTTGAGTGCGCTTGTGTGTAGATACGTATGCATATCTATCTATTTATCTATCTATCTATCTATCTATCTATCTATATATATATATATATATATATATATATATATATATATGTGACGTCACCCCGGTCTCTCTGCCCTGTGCTATCCTGTGACGACCAATGTGGCTTGGTATTGGTCGCGGTACCAAATGTGACATGATCCTGCTGTCACCGCACCAAATGTGACGTTCTAAGCCTTGGCTCATTCGGATGGGAATCTGGTTAGATTCGGTATCAGCTTTGTCATGCCCAGCTCGCCTCCAACGTCTGGTTACCGAAGTAACTTCATTGACTTCTAGGCTAACCTACCCACGTTGTGATTTTGATCTTAGGTAGACGAAATCAGTCAGTCGCCGTGCCGTAATGCAAGCCGAGTCCGAGCATAGGTAACACTGCACAAGTATATGTAAAAGAAAATAAAGTAACAACTCGAAAAGTTCAAATGTGTTAAAAAAGAATAACAAATATTTTTATATCTGGTTTCTTTCTCCCAAAGCGCTTCTATGGATACGTGACATTTTGCGTTTGTTAGGCGAGTCTTAATATCTTAAGTTGTTTTTCGATAACTGTTATTTTTTTGTATCTTCAGGTGATATTCGCAAAACTTGTTTTAGTGGTGTGAGTCTAAGTCGTTCTTCAAAAATAATTTGCATTTGGTTAGAAGTCGAAGATCTTCAGTCAGTTTCCTGCGAGGCTGGTCTCAGAGCTCACAGCTCAACTCTGCGTCTGCGTCTCTCCAACTGCAACTCTCCAACTACTAAACTAACTCGCTGCGACTCTGCTTATATGGACGCCGACCAAAACCGGGTGTTGTCGGGGTTTGAGTTCCTCGATAATTCTAAATCCACAATAAGGATTTTCTTTGTTTTCGGACAGGAAAATTTATCACTTTCCATTTTTGGAAGTCCATTACTTTTTGCTTTAGAGGGGTTCTTAAGGGTATCGTCCTCCCAAATTCTTCCTTTCTCATATTGGTATCTCACACCAATCCCCTCAGGGGGCGTCAACAGGCCTCCCCTCCTTCTCATATGTTTACCATTATTGCTCAAAGGCAAAAAAAATTATCTTCTTTTTTTTTTCTCCTCTTCCCGACACCAGACCTCTACGACTCGTAGTGTGGTCCTTAATCTCTACCTTAACCGAATGTCACCTGGAATTTATCAACGAGATTTTCGCCAGCGTCAAATGGACGTATTCGCACTCTGTATCCAATTATCCATCCCGGTAACAAACTTTTATCATGTCCAGGTCTGGACAATAAAACAGGTGGTCTCTTTCCAAAAACAAATGATATCTTCGAAAGATAGTTAATGGTTTATTCCCTCTTTCTCTTTCTCTGGGGGTGGCTTGGGGTGATGCCATTCTCGGTCAGTACGTGACCTGATTACTATTATCTCCCAGCTTCTGTTTCGTAGGCCACTTGACCAATTTGAAATTTTCATTATTGCCATGGGCAGATTGCTATCTTCTTTCGCCGCGTCATAACATAAATTAATTCCGACAGATCCGTGGTCTTACGAATTTCCTATCTTACGCGAAAAAAAAGATACTTTTTTTTCGCAAATGAAAATAAAACCTTTACCACTTTTCTTTTTTTAAAAAAAATAACATCGCTCAGTATGTCTTTTCGTGATAGCTTCTTCTCGCCTTAATTATTTCTCGCTTTTAATTTTTACGCCACCGCTAAATAGTGTCACATACATACACACACACACACACACACACATATATATATATATATATATATATATATATATATATATATATATATAAGATTATGGCACAAACTTTCATAACTGAATCAATAAGCTGTCAGATCCTCATGCGCCAAAAAAAGAAGGGAGAGTCCATTATTATATATATATAACCACCTTCCACCGTAATTAATTAAGAAGACCGTAAAACTCCATTGCATATTATCACCGGTAATATATTTGAATTCAGATTTGTCTTTTTTTGACAGTGTTGACTAAGGATTCAGTCGGCTCTGCTATTTAACTCACGGCTCGACGGGGAAGAGCTGCATTCGTACCTTTTCCAAGGTTAGTTGAAACATAAGTGAATATAACCAAATCAACCAGAATTCGAAATCACTTCGCCGGTTTCTTGATCCTCTTACCCTCAGTACAACCTTACACCACCTGCACACACTGTAACATCTATCTATCTATGTCATTATGATAATTATCTATCTCTTATTATTTTCATTATCACTCTATGTCATAATGATAATTACTATCTATCCATCTATCTGAGTCTCTTCATCTCATCTATCTATCTATCTATCTATGCTACGCTATTATTTTCATTATCAATCTGTGTCATTATGATAATTACTATCTATCTATCTATCTATCTATCTATCTATCTATCTATCTATCTCAGTCTGTTCATATCTATCTATCGATCGATCTATCTATCTATCTATCATTTTCATTATCAATCTATCTGTGTCATAATGATAATTATTATCTATCCATCTATCTGAATCTATCTATCTATCTATCTATCAATCTATCTATCTATCTATCTATGCTACGCTATTATTTTCATTATCAATCTGTGACATTATGCTAATTACTATCTTTCTATCTATCTATCTATCTATCTATCTATCTATCTATCTATCTATCTCAGTCCATTATCTATCTATCTATCTATCTATCTATGTTATTATTTTCATTATGAATCTGTGTTATTATTAGTAATAATTACTATCTATCTATCTATCTACTTGAGTCTCTTCATCTATCTATTTATCTATCCATCTATCTGAGTCTCTTCATCTATCTATCTATCTATCTATGCTACGCTATTATTTTCATTATCAATCTGTGACATTATGATAATTACTATCTATCTATCTATCTATCTACATTGAGTCTCTTCATCTATCTATCTATCTATCTATCTATCTATCTATCTATCTATCTATTATTTTCATTATCAATCTATCTGTTCATAATTTTACATTATCCATCTATCTGAGTCTCTTCATCTATCTATCTTCTATCTATGCTACGCTATTATTTTCATTATCAATCTACATTATGATAATTACTATCTATCTATCTATCTATCTATCTATCTGAGTCTCTTCATCTTCATCTATCTATCTATCTATCTATTATTTTCATTATCAATCTATCTGTGTCATAATGATAATTACTATCTATCCATCTATCTGAGTCTCTTCATCTCATCTATCTATCTATCTATCTATCTATCTATCTATCATACTACGCTTTATTTTCATTATCAATCTGTGACATTATGATAATTACTATCTATCTATCTATCTATCTATCAACTGAGTCTCTTCATCTATCTATCTATCTATCTATCTATCTATCTATCTCTTCATCTATCTATTATCTATCTATCTATCTATTATTTTCATTATCAATCTATCTGTGTCATAATGATAATTACTATCTATCCATCTATCTGAGTCTCTTCATCTCATCTATCTATCTATCTATCTATCTATCTATCTATACTACGCTATTATTTTCATTATCAATCTGTGACATTATGATAATTACTATCTATCTATCTATCTACTTGAGTCTGTTCATCTATCTATCTATCTATCTATCTATCTATCTGAGTCTCTTCTTCATCTATCTATCATCTATTCATCCATTATCAATCTATCTATCTATCTATCCATCTATCTGAGTCTCTTCATCTATCTATCTATCTATTCATCTATCTATCTATACTCATTATTTTTCATTATCAATCTGTGTCATTATGATAATTACTATCTATCCATCTATCTACTTGAGTCTCTTCATCTATCTATCATCTATCTATCTATCTATCTATCTATCTGATCTTCATCTATCATCTAT